GATAGTGTTCTTGGTTTACTATTAATGTGAGACTTACAAGAATGAAACCCAGCTCTGATGATGTCCATCAGATGATGGACGAAGGCTCAGCACGTTTTTACCCGAAACGAGGGAGGAATACTCGTGGACTGCGTCAACATGAATATAACATAAAAGCTAAACAGCTGCAGTACAACGATTTTCATCCGTCCTCATCTGGTGAGATCGAAAAACGAATCTCTTCATCATGTACTTTCATTCGAAATGAAGGTCCCCCTAACAATACATATTACAAGCACGTATATTCTTATGTGTTTGAGCGAGTTCAATGAAGTAATGATAGCATATGCGACCCGATTCGAGAAGGGAAAATTGGATGACATGGTTCAGTGACAAGAAACGGCAACAGCTCAGTCTACTCAACTATTCGCACTCGCTATTTGGTGGGATAAAAACAAATAATAGGTCGCAATAATCTTAAAGTAGACCAGTTGAAGTATAACTGATCACATTCGTAGGGTTAAATATTCAAGATGCTGTGTAGACCAACAAAACAGAGGATTCAGAGAATTCCTCCACTAGGGAGAAACAAATCCTGCTGTCACCAAAGACGAAAAGATAAAATTTTCATATTGTACTGGCTGCGCATAGAGTGAGAATAAAGGCGATCAGGCAGCTTGCGAGATTTCCATTGAGGAATAGCAGTTGTTAGCGTCGACTTCGAAGGCTTACCAGCTTGGACTGCAAACAAAGAGATGCAAATGGATTAAAGTTATATGGAGCGGAGGATCGTGCAGCGAGACTAAAAGAAACCCCGGCCCTATCGGAAAGTGAATAATCATGTCAAGATTCACATGTAAAGGACAAAAGTATCTGTTTGAAGACAATGCCGATAGGAAAATATAAAAAATGTTCGTTTTGCCTCTAGTTAAATTCAAATCGGAAAAGAAGTAACCGTATTAAAAGCATAATTATGCAAGTTGCGCAGATTCAGAGACCAGTGGGCATTCGGAATATAATGCCATTACGTAGAAGATGAGTCTGTCATCAATGAAAATATCATATCCGAATTGGTGTATATTCTGTAGTGAATTCCGTAGAGCAAATTGGCAAGGGAAGGCAATTTCATATGAAGCCATCGTCTCTCAAAGGTAAGCCAAAGTAGAAAAGCTTTAACAAAAACCAACCCACAAACGTGGTTCAATATTGAACCTAAACAAAGCCAGCAGTACCACAACATTTGTGGGTTAACACACAAGCAACTAGGGCATGGCAAGTCATAGACGAATTACGCCTCGAATAGCACAGATGGGGGGGGCAGGGGGCGAGTGAAATAAATGTACCAGGGGCAAGAGGGGGACTTTGATAGGACCCAGGGAAGGACTACGTAACAATATGACACACTCTGGTCAACATTCCCATTACAAGGGCGAAGGTGGTGATAACGACAGTGTGGAGTATGAATGGTTTTCATGAATGCCGCTCGAAGGGG